GCAAGACCCATGGTGGCTCTAGGGAGACAGGGAGCCACGGGTGGGGTGGGGGCGGGCGGCTCCAGAAGGTGAGGCCAGGAGAGGACATGGCAGCCATGGGCAGAGACTTCGGGGGCCAGGATGGTGGGGGGGGGGGGAGCTTCCAGTGCGACCCAGGCAGCGGTGCAGGCCTCAGCCGTGTGACCCTGGCCACACCTGCCCCCTAGTGACTTGTTGGTGTTCCGGGGGAGGCCAGAGTCCATTGTGGCCCCTGGGATTCCCCAGGGGTAGGGCCTGAGAGCAGAGTGTCCCTCCCCAGCAGAGAGGCCCCTGCCCGGCTCTCAAGCCGTCTGCAGCCTCCAGCCTGGGGTCTGTCTGCCTCCCCGGGTGCCCACCTCCCACCCCGATGACCTCCAGGCTCAGCCTAGCTCCCCACCCTCCTCCCCACCGCCAGAAGCCTTGGGGGATGGTGTCCCTGCTCTGGCTCTCAGGGCACCGTCACCGGGCCGTGTCCCCTCCTCTCGTCCACCACAACTCCATCCCCCCTCTTTCCTGTCCTGGCCCCCCTCGCCGCTCTCCCCTCCCCCCCCATCCATCCGGGAGGTTAAGTCCCTTTTAGAGGGACCGGGCTGGAGCCTGTCAGCTGCCTCCCCTCTGAGGATCCGGGAACCCTGAGCCTGGAAAGGACAGGAGAGGACAGGTGGGGCACAGGCTGGTGAAGGAGGCACACCAGCGAGGGGACAGGCCCCCTGAGGTCACAGGCAGCCGAAGTGTCCCAGAACCAGGCCACTGCACCCACCGCTGCCTCCCAAGGAGCTCCCCGTGATGGAGAGAGAGAGGGGTGCCGCTGGTGGGGGTGCTGCCTCCTGCCTCCTCCCGACTCCCCTTCCTGGGCAGGATCCATATGGTGTTCCCAGAGAGCCATATTGAGTCCAACAACACCTCCTCTGCCTTCCTGGGACGGCTGGGGACGCCTGCGCCCTGCAACTGGCCCAAGCAGGGCTCTAGGCCGCCCCCCGCCACCGTCTCCAGTCGGGGTACCCGCTGGCTGGGACGCCAAGGGGAGAGCCGGCCGACAGCCCACCCACCCTACCTTCCTCAGGGGGCCCTGCACTTCCGTCTTCGGAGATTTGGGGGAGGGGTCTGAATGTGATTGTCCTAAGATCCCACGCACGTAAAGGGAAGTTTCTGGATGAGCAGATCTTCGATTCCGTGATTGTAACTGCTCACACCCCAGTACTCTTTGTCCAAGGAGCTGTGCTCTACAGGGGCCCCCCAGGACCCCTGCCCCGTGCCCTGACCGCTCTGGGGGGAGACCCCTGGGGCCCCGGGCTGAGGGCTGGCTGCGGTGGGAGGGAAAATTCTGGAGCAGCACAGCTGGGAGGCTGACGTGAGCAGTGACTGTCTCAGGGCTTCCGGCTCTGCCAGATCCTTATTTGGAGGTGGTTCCGCCGGAGTGACTGGCACATTCCCGAGCTATTCAGAGACACCCTTCCCCTCCTGGTTATTTTTAGGCCCTAAGAGAAGTACTTGGGGAGCCCGCTGCTCCCCGCCTCAAGAGGTTACAGGGCCACAGACTGCTGGCCTTGGAAGGGATCTGTCACCCGATCCTGCTGCCACAGTGCCAGAGGGGAAACCGAGGCCCAGAGGGGCGGGGCTCGTCCAAGGTCAAGGCCTTCTGCCCCTAGCCGGCCCACCTTTGGGCCCCTCTGTGGACCGTTCTGAGCAGACCTGGCCAGGACCGTGGGACACCCCCGTGCGGAGAGGTGCACCAGGCGGGGACCCCCACTCCACAGGAGGTCTGAGAACTCCCTTGGTCACTGGCAGTAGTGGGCACACTGGTGACACAGGCAGAGGCCCGTGTGACCCCTCCCGGCCCTGACCGGTGTGCCAGCCCTTCCGTCCAGGGCCTCGGCGTCCTCCCCAGGGGGCGGACACTCCTCAGGATGAGCCCAGACACCTGCAGGGGTCTGGGGGGGGGGCGGTAGCAAGGGACCCCAGATTTTACATCTGTCAGAAAGGGCTGCCGGTAACCTCCCAGGGCAGTAGGATGGCCACCAGGGGTGGGTGGCGGTTTCTGGACTTTTGAGGTGGGACACCAGCTGCCTTGTCACCCCAGGGGAGCCACACAGGTCCCGTGTTCCCCAGACATAGCCTGGAGGCTCCAGGAGGAACTGGGGGTGGGTGGAGCAGGCCCAGGAAGGGCACTCCCCGCTGGTGGAAGGTTCTGGAACAGTCCTGGGGCATGAGGCCCACCGTGGATTTGCTCCTCTGTGGAGGCAAAAGCCGGTGTCAGGTGCGGGGCCAGGGGAGGTGACGGGAGCCTGGAGGCGGGCCCTTCATCTTGGCTGAGGCCAGGAGGGGCCGGAAGGTGTTGCGCGGCGGCCGGCATGGCAGTGGGAGGCTGGCCTGGAAGAGGGCCTTCCAGATAGTGGGGGGCTCGCTGCTGGTGGGGGCCAGCTGGGGGCTGGGCCCGGGGGCGGTTGTGAAGGCTTTTCCAGGGAGGGTCTCCCCCTGCCCAGGGGCAGGGCGTCTCCACCGGGCGAGCAGGGACTGCTTGGGCTTCCCTCCGGGCTCGGCCCGGCCCTGCTGGCCTTGGTGACAGGAGGACATCGGGTGAGGAGGACCTGGGTGTTAGGAGTGTGTGGCCTGGAGGAGGCTGCCTCCAGTTTGCCCTACCCCCCTTCCCCCCGGGGGACTCAGGCTCTGGTCTTTGTCCTCGGGGAGCCTCCTTCCTACCCTTCTGTGCCTCCATCTGCCAGATGCCCCCCCCCCCCCCCAGCACTACCACCAGCCACACGGATCATCGCCACCGTCAGAGCCACCGCCAGCACCGCCAGAGGAGCTCTGGCCGCACGTGCTCCCGCCCCTGAGGGTGACCACCGCCATCCTGGGCGCCACCCCTAGGCCACGATGCACTGCAGGCAAAAGGGGGCAGCGGAGGCATTCTCCGAGCGCCTGTGGCGGGGTGGCACTTGGACAGAGGCGCCCGGACAGTGAAGGAAACATCTCTCTGGTGGCCCGATCACCTCTGGAAAGGAGTGCTTCTGGCCGTGGGAACAGCACGGGGAGCCTCCCGGCTGCCACTGGGTGGCCTGCCAGGGATGAGGGCTGGGAGACCTGGGCTCACTACCTGGCACGCGGACCCCTCCCCGGTCCCTGAGGCAAGAGCGCAGCAGCTGCGGCAGGCCCCCCACGGAAGGGGACGGAGGCGGACCCACGCAAGGCCCAGGGGTTTCCATGAGTCTGGGGGGGGGGGGGCACATCCCCGGCGGGCTTCCTGCACCGAGGCCTGGAGAGAGGACAGCCATTTCTGCGACCAGTCACTGTGCCAGGTGGCCGTGCAGCACGGAACAGCCGTGAACGTGGGGCCCGGGGCAGAACAGGGAACGGGTCTTCTCCTGGAAGGACACAGCCTTCTTGGAGGGAGCCGGGACGGGGGACCTGGGTCCGCTGACCCTGAGCCCCCGGGTTACTGCCATCGCATGCAGGGAGCGTGTGGCTTGGGTCCATCTTGCTTTGCTGTTTCTCCCAGCTTTTCTGTTGCACAAGCGAGCAGCACAGGGGAGGGCAGGTCACCGGCCGGACCCTGCCCGGGTCACACCACGAAGGCAGTGGTAAACCCTGTGCTCTGTGCGCCGTCCCCCAGGAGCGTGGCGGGGGGCTCAGGGCTTTCTGCACCAGGACCCCCTTCCTGGGGGTGCTCCGGCTTCCTTCTGGGGAAGGATGGATGAGGAAGGCAGCCAGTGGCCGCCCTCGTCCGAACCGCCCCCCGCCCCAGGCCAGATGCGCTCGGAGTTGGAGGCTTCTCTGTGTCGGGAGAGCCTGGGCGCACCCAGTGTTCGAACCAACCTTAAGCCTCAGCGGGGGAGGTTTGGCTGCCACATCGCACCCACAAGAGTTGGCTTTTTGAAGTGTCCAGACCGTGGCTGAGAGGCTGGTTCCCGCGGACGTGCGGGCCCGTGCCAGGGCGCTTGTGGCCACGCATTCCCCAGCCCCTCACAGCCATGCCTGGTCACCACCGGTCCCTCTCCCTCCTCAGTCACTTGTGGCCGTGACCCTAGGGGGTCGTGACAAGTGGTGGGTGGGGCGCCGTGAGACCCGTGCCAGCAGCTCCCCCACTTTTCGGGGGGTTTGGCATTTTTTCATCTTGAATGATGCGTTTGGGGGGCCATAATCCGGGGCGCTGGGACCCGCAAACAGACCACTTGCACACCCCTTGTTTGGGCCAGTGGTCACTGTCTGCCGCCTCCCGGGGTCCAGCGGGGTCTGGGGGTCTGCCCCCAGGGTGGGAAGCGCAGCCTGGTGGGGAGAGCCTGGCTCATGGCCCCTCCCAGCCTCGCACCTGCCAGCCTGGCTCCCAGTGGAGGCGCAGGCTGCCCCCTGCTGGAAATACAGAGGAGAGGCAGGACCCCGCATTTCCCCTGGAGAGACAAGCTTCTCAAGCTGTGTGCCCTGGGCCTAGGTGGGGGGTGGCAGAGGGCGGGGCAGGATGGAGAAGGGGGCACGGCTCTGGGTGTGTCCACATTTGTTCCTCACACCTGCCCCAGGACAAAGGGGAAGGTTCGGGGGACACAGGTGATGCAGAGGGCAGGGGTCCTGGAGGAGACAGTGGACACACCAAGGCCAGGCGGGAGGGGCCTTCCTCCTCCCCCCCCCCCCCACCACATCCTCTGCCCCTGCATTTCTTTGCAGTCTTGGATTGTCCCTCCAGCCATGACTCAGGGCGCAGGGAAGTCACACGCCAAGCCCCGTGGGTCTAAAAGTCTGCGGGCAGGGGAGCAAGGGAGCCCAGCATCCGAGGGTCCCCCTCGGTTCCTTCACGGCATCCCCGGGGACCACGTGACTGCTGGCCTGGGGACCGACGCCCACACACGGTGAGCTCCTGACACCCAGGCAGGGTACGAGGCGGGAGTGGAGGCCAGGTGCCCACCAGGCCTGCCCCACCCTTCTGACCCGGATGGAGGGACCAAGGCGGCCTCGGGGCTCGTGCCGCACAGAGAAGGCCCACACAGAGGGGATGTGGGTTTTTAATTCTTTTTATTGAAGAAAAGAAAAGGAGAGAAAAAATAGATTCCCCACCCCTGCTTCTTCCCGGAGTGGGCTTCTAGTCCTGCCCCTGGGGTCAGCACAGGTGGGAGAGAGGGCTCTCCACCTGGGTCTGGGGAGGGGCCCCGGGCCCTGGAAAGGTGGGGGGGGGGCTGGCTGCTTCCCGAGGGGTAGGGGTGTCTAAAAAATGGTGCCAGGCCAGCTGGGCCAAGCAGGCTGGTCCTCTGCCGCGGCAGCTCAGGCAGGTGTCCTGGGGATGCTGGCCGCACCCGCCCCGCCACTGTCCGCGGCCGCCCGCCCGCCTGCCCGCCGGCGCCGGGCTCGAGGAGGGCAGAGTCTGAGGCACCTTCCGGCCTCTGGAGCCCTGTGCCCACCCGGGGCCGCCGGGGCCTCCTGTCCCCTCTGGCTCTGGTCCCAGCGCCGCGGGCCTCCGCCCGGCCGCCGTCCGAGCGCCCTGAGGCCGGGGCGCGGGCCTGGCCCGCAGCCCGGGAGCGTGTCTGTGCCCGTCCTGCGGCGGGAGCGGGCGGAGCAGGGTGTTCCTCCTCGGGGCCCGGTGCGTGGCCGCCGCCCACCCGCTCAGACCTCGGTCTGGAGGTCGATGATGTCCTGGCCCACCAGCGGGATCGTGGCGCCCGACTTCTCCCACTCGACGCTCCGCAGCTCCAGCGGTGAGGGCGGCAGCGGCTCCAGCTCCTTCTTCACCCACGCGGGCGTCCCGTGGGCCTTCCGAAGGCTCTCCCAGGGCCGCTTGTTCGGTGTCTGCTGCTTTTCCGGCTGCTGGCCGGCGGGCGGGGAGGGGGGCAGGGGCCGAGAGGGAGGCCACGGGGCAGGAGCGGAGGAGGGGAGGAGAGAACGCACACGGGAACCAAACAGAGAGGAAGGGACCTGAGCGGGCGGAGATGCGGGCTGCAGGCCCCCCCCCCCCTCCCGGGGCCGAGCGGGAGCGGAGCGCTTCCCGCCGGCCGCCGTGGGGACCCCGCCTGCCCGGCACCCCTCCCTTGGCTGTTGCCTTCCTTGGCAGAAGCCAGACCCCCCGTGCACCGCCCCGTGCACCCCTCCGGACGGGGCTGGGCGTGGGGCGGGTCCCCGGGAAGGCCGGTGTGCGGGGCTCTGGCGAGCGCTGCGTCGGGCCAGTCTTCGGGAAAAGTTGAAGCGAGGGGAAGGAGCGCGTAGGGACTTCAACCAAGGGCTCTCCCTCTGCCGGCCCCGCCCCAGGGCCCCGCCCAGAGCCCCGCCCCACCACCCCGCCGGCAGCCCCAAGGCCCCGCCCCGTCCCCCAGACCTTGCTTTCTGGGCCCAGCACCTCCTTGTCCTTCTCCGCGTGCTGCAGCTTCCGGTTCAGGTCCTGGAACATGTCCTGGTGCCGCTTCCGGGTGTGCATGATTTTCTGCGGGGCGGGAGGGGCCGGGCATCCTGAGCCTGGAAAGGAGCCGCCCTGCCTGGCCGGGGTCCTCCCCCCCCCCCCCCCCCCGCCCCCGGGGGGGCGCCCGCCGGCCGGCCCCCGCCCCCCCCCCCCCCCCCCGCCCCCCGCCCCCGGGGCTCTGAGCACCTCCGGCTCCGGGTGTTTGGGGAAGGGGACACCAGGAGGTGGGACCCACCTCAAAGTCCAGTTCTGCATACCGCGACTTCCGCCGCTGTGGGGAGAAGGGGGTTGTGCGCATTTGCAAGCAGTCGCCCCAAACCTCCCAGACCACAAGTCCAGGCCTCTCCTCGCCTGAGACAGGGGGAGACTGGGGACCCCCTCACCCCATGGCTACTCGGGTTCTCCACCAAGCTGGGGAACATGCCTCTGACTGCCCTATAGTTGGCAGCGCCCAGGCCGCTTGTAGGCCCCGCCCTTTCCCCCGGGGACAGCGGGGGCCCAGCCCGAGGGCTCTGGCGGAAGAGGGTGGGCAGAGGGGGCGCCCGCTGAGCCAAGGGGAATAGAAGCCCGAGGCCCCAGACAGCAGTGACAGTCACACGACCGCCTGGGGCTCCGGTATTGCAGCTCCAGAATGGGGGTAAGCCTGCAGATGCTTTTCATCACGTTCTGTCCCAGACCGTCCCCAGGGCCATCTCCCGCTTCGAGAGACAGAGGACAAGGGTGATGCAGAGGGCAGGGGTCCTGGAGGAGACTGTGGGCACACCAAGGCCAGACGGAAGAGCAGGGCAATGCCTCCACATTCTCTGCCCCTGCCTTTCTTCACCGTCTTAGATTGTCCTCCGGCACTGGCCAGTGACGAGGAGACGAGAACTGGACGCAGGGCGGGTGGCACGGCTGGGGGACCACAGGGAACCGGGGCCTGGGGCTGCTTAACCAGAGGCAGTGAGCCAGGAGGTGGGGGAGTGGCCTGGGGAGGGCGGGGGGGTCCCTGGGGGTGCTAGGCAATGCTCCCCCCAACGCACTCCGAGCCCCATGCCGGACAGGCTGAGTGTGGTCACTTCCAGGCTTCAGGCTGACCTAAGGAGGGACTTGCTGCCGTGACCGCCCGACCACAGAATGGACTAGACTGCAGCCAGCCCAAGTCCAGCTGGGTGGGCCCCACTGCAATGGCACAGCCCCCCGTCACCAGGGCCCAGCAGGGCCAGGGGCAGCGTGGCCAGAGAACAGGGTGAGGGCAGGCCCTGCCAGGAACCAGCTCTCCGGCGTAGGCCTGTCCCCACTCTTGCCAGGGGACCCCTTCCGGCAGGAGTGAGGCCAGGATGCCGGCCTCCGGCCTTCCCAGGCCTGGCCTACCTAACGCTGGCTGCAGCCCAAACCAGCAGCGCCCACAGCACCCCTGCCCCGCCCCCCCCCCCCCCCGGGCCCCTTGGGCGGCCCTCACCTCCAGGGAGCTCACGGACAAGGTGGAGACATTCTCGTTCCTGGTCCCGGTCCCCGAGCTGGGCCCTGGGTGGGCAGCGGGCTCCCCGGGCTCCCCCAGGCTGGGGGGCGCTGGCTCCAGGGTGGGTGGCGGGGGTGGTGGGGGCGGGGGCGGTGGGGGCTGGGCAGGGGGTGCCTCCGGGGGCCCACCCCCTGGGGGCTGGCGGGAGGGTGGGCTGCGGGCGGGGAGGCCCGTGTCAGGTGCCATGTTGAGGTGGATGAGGCGGGTCTGGGGCATCTGATCGATGTGGATGCTGTGCTTGGGCTCCTCCTGGGGCTTGGGCCGCAGCGTGGCTGTGGCCGTTGGCAGGATTACATAGCTGGTGTCCAGGGCCTTCTCCTGGGCCCGGCTCAGCTCCGAGTCCAGCTTCTTGAAGATGTCCCCGTCCCCGGCAAAGGAGGACTTGGGCGCCCTGTCCTTCTTGAGGGTCAGTGAGTGGTTGGGGAAGTCGGGCAGGGGGCCGCCCGGGCAGCGGGGCGAGCCGTGCAGGTGCAGTTTGGACACGTTGGCCGGCAGGCTGTTGAAGTTGGCGGGGGGCGCCTTGGCATGGGCCAGCTTCAGCTTCTCCTCCTCGGGCAGCGACGGCCGCTTGAGCGTGCCCGTGATCGTGGCCGTGCGGCAGGCTGCGATGTCCTTGTTCAGCACTGTGGGGACAGGTGAGGGGGTCAGCGCGGCCTCGGGGATGCCTCGGACGGTCTCGACCCGGCGCGCCCCTGACTTGTGTTTGGTGCTGCTGCAGCTGGGAGTCCTTGGCGTTTTCAAGCAGGCTGGAACACGGGGTGCTCCTGTCTGCTCCCGCAGACAAGAGGACAAATGGCCGCCCCTCCCAGCAGCTGAGCGGGCCCCTGTCGGCCCTGGAGCCAGCCTGCACTTCTCGGAAGTTCAGGGACACACTCCTCATCGCTCCTGCGGCGCGGGGCCCTGTATGCCTAGCCCGCTTCTGTGTGGCTGCAGTGGGTGGGGGCGGGCCACCGCGACCTCCGACCCGGGCTCCAGCTGGCCCACCACCTGCCTTGCTCTTACCCGTCAATCCAGCCTCACTGGCCCATGGAGACCCCAAAGCGGCCAGGCCCACGCGGGGCCCGTCCACGGGAAGCCCGCTGTGAACGCGGGAGCGCTTTCCCTGCTGGCTGGCGGGCACCCAGCCACACCTTCGTCCAGCCCCCAAACGCTCACAGCTCCTGTCAGTGGCTTCCTGTGCCACCCCACCGGCACCCGCCCTCCGAGCGGACGGTCACCCGCCAGTCCCCGGTACTCTCCCTCCTCTCTGGCAGAGCTTCCTTCTGTTCTGGCCCCTTCTCTTCTCCGGCCTCCATACGCCGACCCCCTGCGCCCATGTCTGCAACCGTCCCCCGCTCCAGGTCGACCAACAGGGGACCTGCCGTCTCGCCCGCCAAACCTGTGCCCCTCCGGGGTCCCCCCTGCAGAGATAGCCCCGTCCACCTCACAGCGGGCCATCGCCCGGACAGAGCTGGGCACCTCTCCTGCAGAAATCTGGCTGCGGGGCCCCTGTGTGCTCGGCTCCAAATCCAGACTCCTTCTAGGCCCCCAGCCCCCCACCCCCCGGGCCCCCCCCCCCCCGTGTTTTTGTGCCCCCCCCCCCCCCCCCCCCCCCCGCCGCCCTCCGCCATGCTTCCAGTCGCTAGCTGCCTGAGAGATCACGGGCCAGGCTGTGCCATCTTACCGATGAGGAAGAAGTGGGGGCCTCGGAGGCCAGTACCACCCAAAGGGGGCTGGGCCCGAGCCTCCAAAAGCCCTCAAGTCTTGGGGTCACCTCTCAGGGAGGCTGCCTAGACTACACGAGACCAAGGTGGGAAGTGAAAGACCATTCTGTCCAGTTCCCACTCAGCCCAACCAGAGGTCACCTCCTCCAGGAAGCTCTCCCGGGGGCCACCGGGCAGCAGCTGACACTCCCAATCTGGGGCTGTCTCGACCCCCGCCCCCATGGCTATCTCTGGAGAAGACGCTCCTCAAAAGTATCTGACAGACCAAGGCAGTGCGACCGGCTGGTCCACCGCTCTGAACGGCATTGCCTGTCACTGCCGGGACCCGGCTCTCAAAACGACGACGTTAAAGCGGTTTCCTTTCATTGGGCAGCTGATTCCCCTTTTCCCCTTGCTTCCAGGAAACTCAGCATTACTCTAGGGCCCAGGGTTGGCTCCTCCGCCCTGCTTTCCTCCTGCTCCCACTGATGTCCCCCCAGAAGGCTCGGCCAACCCTCCGCCATGGCTGGATGGAAGATGAAGACGCGAGGACAACACAGAACGCGGGCCCTGGAGGGACGCAGGCAGGGGCGGGTGACGAGGTGGGTGACAGGTGGAAGCGGGGTGGCTCCAGTGTCTCACAGCTGGTGCAGCCTCCCCGCCCCTACAGAGAGAGCGGAGACCGAAGACCAGAAGTGTCGGAGGTGGCGGAGGCGGGGGGCACAGGGCTTCTTGTTCAGGGGCTCGGCGGGGAGAGGACAGGGCCAGGCCCAGGGCAGCGGGCCCCAGGGGTTCGCTCCAGTGCTAAGAATCCCGCCAGCACGCATCAGCCTGGTGAGCCCAAGCTCCCGGACAGCTTTCTGGCAGTTTCTTCTGCCCTCGACCCACAGGCCCTGCCTGCTGCAGCCTCAGGGCAGTGGGTGGGGAGGCGCAAAACTGGCTGTGCCACCAAGGTTGGGGCGGGCCAGGCCCCGGAGGAAGGCCCGTGTCTGCCTGTACAGACCAGGCTTCCGGGCAGTGGCCCCTCCATCTGGGCGGATGTGACCCAACCTCACGGCACGGGCTGTGGCGGGCAGCGGTGGGATGAGGGCAGACGGATGGACAGACAGACGCACACACAGAGAAAAGAAAAAGAAGCAAGTAGCCCGGGCGAGGGCCACCTGTCGCTCTCACCTGGCAGGCGCTCACCTGATCTACAGGCCAGATCCACGTCCTTCTCGAAGTCGGTCTGCAAGACACAGGCGGGGCGGGGTGAGGCCCCGGGCCGAGCGGGAGCCGCACCTCGAGGGGTGTGCGTGTGCGCACGCGTGTGCCCGCCACGGAGCGCCAGGAGGGCTACAAGGTCACGGCCGGGGGGCTCCGGGCTCAGAGAACCCCCGGCGGGCGGCCCCGCCCCTGCGTACTCCGTGTGCGTGCGCGCGTGTGCGCGTGCGTGCGTGCGCGCGCCTGCCAGGACGTTTGTGGATGAGCTGGGAAGGCCGGTCCCACTGCAGCTCAGTCGTGCTCCTGTCCCCCCCGGCTCTGTCTCCCCCGGCCCCCGGCCCCTGGGACTCCAGCACAAAGACCAGAACCTCTGCCAGGGCCTCATGTCCCTTCCGGGGGGCAGGGCACGCAAAGGGTGTCACGCCAGAGCCCCCGGGGCCGCCGCCTGCTGATGTGCAGGGCGTGGGGGGCTCCGCCCCCGTCATCTGCGTGGTCCTCCCCACAGCCCCCGGGGGTGAGGAAACAAGAGGCCAGCCGACCAGATAGGTGGAACGGGTTCAGGCACAGATGTCCGGTGCCAGGGTGAGGCCAGCTGTCCCCTGAGCGGTGGCTGAGATCCCCGCTGCGACACCTGCCCCACCCCAGCCCAGGAGCTCGGTGGACTGGGAAACCCGGCTCGGGCCACCCCAGGCTGTGGCGTGGCCTTCTCCAGGGGCCGTAGGGCTGGGTCCTAATCCCAAACCTGGAGGCTCCTTCTCTGCAAACCAGAGGTCGGGTCGGTGGGAAGACTACAGAATCTGAGGGGAGAAGTGGGGCCCGGAGCGGTATCGGGGGCCCCTGCCCACGACCATGAGGGTACAAGCCTCCTCCCGGTGCCGGCCGCTGGCATCTGCTGAGGTCCCGGCTGCGAGCCTCGCAGCCGCCACGAGGTGGCTCGGCGCCCGAGGACTGAGTGAGCAGCTCCCGGCTGCCAGGCTCACTGCATACCGGGGGGGCACCCAGCAGGCAGCAGGCGGCGAGTGACAGCCTGGAGAATTCACCCAGGGCGCTGCCAGGACCTGAACGGGAGGAGGCCTGATGGCACAGGTGGGGGCGGGGGTCAGGGAGGGCTCCCTGGAGGTGATGTCTCAGCAGACACCCGCGAGGTGGGCAGGCGGGGTGGGCAGTACCTGGACCCGAACGGCACGTGTGATGCCGGAGGGCCTGAGTGGACCCGGCTGGGGACAAGGCCACGTGGGGTGGAGGGTGAGTGGACAGGTCAGGGCTGGTCCGCCCCACGGAGGCTGAGTGAGCCAACGTCCCACCCCGGCTGAGCTGGAGAACAACGAAGGGGGCACGGGAGGTGCAGAGATGGGGGCGCCGCAGCGGAGGCGAGGGCACTGTGGCACCGGGGGTGGGCACGGGCCGGTGGCAGCCTCGCCCAGACGCGTCATCTGGGCCCTGCCCGTCCCCAGACCCCGGACCAGGGATTTCACCTTGGTGAGCCCCAGTCTCCCCAGTGTTGGACTGGGCTCGGAGCTCTTCCTCAGGGGCCGCTGGAGCCTAGAGCAGCTCCGAGCAGGGCGAGGAGACACCGCCGGGGGCACCGCGCGCTGAGCCCTACCATGAGCTGGGCATGGCCGTTCTGGAAGGAGCCCCCCGAGTCCCCGTTGCCCTCCTCCTGGCGGTCCACCACGCGACACTTCACGGCGTCCTGGACCTGGCGAGAGAGAGCAGAGCGGTCAGCGGCAGCCCTAGACCGCTCGCCCGGCAGGGTGGCGGGAAGTCAAGGGCAAGGACCGCGGGGCGGCCCCTCCGTGAGGGCGGCCTGCGTGCCGGGGCCCTGCCTCCCTTCCCGTCTCTGAGATTCTCTCCGTGCCCTTTGGGGCATGGAAATTCCAAACTCAGAGAGTTCCAGGCCTGCTGAGGACGCGCTGCAGCCCTCCGGGCCGGAGTGTGTCCGTGAGATCCGGCCGTCAGGCTGAGGAGGGGCCTGGAGTCCACACCCTGTGCCGAGTGACCACAGCCTCCGCTGACCCCACTGCCCTGGAGGCGCTCCGCCCGGGCTCCACGAGGGCCCTGGGACAGCGCGTCTGTGGTGGCGGCGGGTCCCAAGCTGCGTCACTAACAGCACGCTCCACTGAAGGGGATCTCACCCATTATGGCCATGGACTCTTCAGAAGGGCGGGGATGGCGGCTCTGGGCCAGAGGCCACCCAGGCAGCCGGCACAGAACGCTAGAGGAGACCTGCTTCTGCAGGGAGGTGCTGGTCCGTGAGCGTGAGGAGCAAAGGCCGCACCTTCACCCGCGGCTGGGGCAGCAGCCAGCAGAGCCCCCCTCGGGGAGCGGACGCTGTGGGGCCATGATGCGCAAAGGGAGTAGGTGAAGGCACGGGAACGGTGAAAGCGCAGAGGGCTTCCTGGAGGAGGTACCTGGAGTGAGGTGGGCAGCTCTGGGAGGAGGGGGCGCTGAGGCTGGGGCTCCTGGCTCCCAGACCCAGCACAGACCCGCGGACCCGCCCCCACTCACTCCAGGTGCTGAGCCCAGGGCGCCCGATGCTCCACGGCTGGTCGGCGGTGGTGCTGGGGTCTCGCCGGCCTCAGGGCCACTGCCTGGGCCTCCCCTGGCAGGTGCACCTTCTTCCATCCTTGTGACTCACTGAGCCACGTGGCAGACATCTCTAAGCACCTACTGTGCGCCCAGCGCAGGCAGGCCACGGGCCAGGAGACACTGGCACAGAGAGCAGATGTTCTCCCGGAGGGCCTCGCGGCCCCTCCTCCAGGTAGGCCATCCGGCCAGCCTCATCCCCCTGCTGCCCTCAGGAGACTCACGACCACGTTGCTCATCCACCTGCCAAATGTTCCATGCCCTCCCCACAGAGGCCCGACTTTCCCCTGGTGGCAGGGTCCCTGTAGCATGGGCCCTGCAGGTGGGACCCAGGAGGTCACAGAGAGCTTGTGGGGAAGTCCAACCATCCTAGGAAATCATGTGTCTTCAGGGGTGCCTGACTGTCCCCCAGAGCAGGCCCCTGAGGCAGACATCCCTGCTCTCCACCTGGCAGCCTGTGCCGGGTCCCTGGAGAACCTCCTCTTTGGGTCAGGTGGGCCTGCAGAACGCACCTTCTGTTTTCCAGTTTCTACCTTCTCTCCTTTGCAGGACACAGGCTCCGTTTTATCCGGTCACTGAGCTTCTCCGCTTCTGTTCTCATGCTTTGAATTCCCACAAGCTCCCTTTCTGTTCTTTTTGGGTAGCCTGCTGTTCTTGTTTCACAGAAGCCGGGCAGCTGAGGGCCAAGGGCGTGAGCTTAGAGCCCGGTCAGTGACATGTGCGCACACCCCACCGAGGCGACCACCCCTGTGCTGGCCTTGAGCCGCCCCATCCACAGAAGATGGAGTAACGAGCAGTGAGAATTGCTAGCACGGATCGGTCACGCCAGAGCCGGGCACGCGTGGCTGCCAGGCTGGGGGCGCGAGCGCTCTCTCTGAGGACGTCGCCTCGGGGCTGTGGAACGGCTTCTTCCTGGGCTGTCTCTGGGGCCCACGGCTGCCTGGATCCGAGACTTGTCCGGCACAGGCTCCCCTCGGGTCCTCAGGATTGCAGAGTGGACACGCGGGACCGGCCAGACGTGGACGTGTGGTGGAGACTGTGGTCGTGGCTTGCCAACAGGGCTGTTCCAACATCAGAAGCTTCGGGTCTTTGTCATCGGTCTTTCCCTGTGGTCGGAGCCCCTGGAGGGGGGTGCTCACCTCTCCCCCAGGCGGTCTGAGGCTGGGGGCCCCAGCTGTCAGGGTGACCAAGGGCCAGCACACAGGTTTACGCACCCCCGTCTCGCCAGGGCGCCCCCAGACCAGGGCCCCAGAGCCCCCACCCGGGGCGGTGGAGCTGCATGTGGGGGAGGTGGGGTGGGGGCTGTGCTGCCAGCCCGGGGCGGGGGCGTCCAGGCTGCTACCTAAGCGGACAACCAGCCATCCACCGCAGACCTTCCCTGGGCATCCGGGGCCCCTGCAGCGCCACTTCTGGAAGCTCTCTGGCCTCAGTGCGCCGGGCCTGCCCCATCGCCAGCTGTAGACCCGGCTTCCTCAGGCAGGCTGAGTTCCTGACCCCCGTCCTTCTCCCCGAACTCCCAGGCTTCACTGCGAAGCCCTTCTCCCGCTTTCTTTGCAATCTGTGCTTTAAAATCGCTTTGCCATCTTTCTAGGAGGTTCTAGGAAGGGGAGGTAATTCTGTGTGTCTGCCCACCCGCTCCGGCCCCTTCAGCCTCTGTGGACATCCCGGCCTCCTCTGGCCTCACGGGGGCACCTCTTCCGCCCACGTCCGGACGCATGTTCTCCACGTGTCCGCCTTCCCGACGCGAGAGCGCGTCACCAGAGCTGTGGCCACCGGGCAGGTGGCCGTCGGGAGAGTTTGGTGAAAGCCTCCTCCTGCTCCCTCTGGAGAGGCCCAGAGACACCGGGCCAGGAGTCTCTGCCGTCGCTGAAAGCTGCTGACGTTTCCGGTGGCTCTCGGTCCCACCGAGGCCAGGAGGACAGGACCTCTCCGGTCTGAGCCGGCGAGGGGCGCAGGGGCGCTTCCAGGAGGGGGCCTTACGCAGACGATGGCCCTCGGCCGCCCCAGCTGTGCCGCGCATCCCCGCCTTATGGAGCGAGGGGGGGGGGGGTCCCGAAGCCGCGCCCCCGCACCCCCCTGCCCTTCCCGCAGGCCGCGCACCTCTCGGCGCAGGATGCAGTGCACCATCACTATGACGAAACCCTCCAGCGAGTCGAAGACAGCGAACAGGATCTGGAAGAGGGCGGAGCGGCGGTCGGTGACGGCGAGCACGGCCGACATCCAGGTCAGCGCCAGCAGCGGCAGCACCACGCAGGAGCTCCACAGCGACGCCCTGCGGACAGCGCAGCGGGGGGGCCGCGTCAGGGCTGCCCCGGCCGCCCTCCCGCCGGGGGGCGCATTCCTGGGGGGCCCTGCTTGGCGCCCCTCTCCCGGGGCTCTCCACCCGCTCCGGTCCTGGTCCTTGAGGAGGCCCGGGCCCTCCTGGGGAGCAGAGTTCTGCCCGGCAACCCGCCCGGAGTCCAAGGGCTCCCAGAGACTCGGGAGGGTGGTCTGCGGGGGGGGCGCGGCCCCCCGCCCTGGGCAGTGGTGAGAGAGGAACTCTCTGGAAGACCCGGGTTCCTAACTGTCCGGGAGGCCACAGGAGGGGAGGTGCACTGGAGGCAGGAGCTGGGGGGCTACAGGGTGGCCATTGTGGGGCGGTGTTTGGCCAGGCCTCTGAGCTCTGGACAGAGAGAAAGAGGACGAGAGAACTACTCCAGGAGATGACAGACAGACAGGGCCAGACAGGGGTGGGGGTGGGGACAGAGACGAGAACAGAGACCCACAGGCACCTCATCGTCTCGGCAGGCCCCGCTCCGCTGGTGCCCCCAGGAGCCCCCCACGGCGGCACCGCCCTCTGCAGCCTGGCACCTCCTGGTACCACTATGGGCCACGCTGTGGCCGCTCGGAGCCTGTCGCATCTTCCGAACGGCGCAGTCACTGTTTCGTAGCCTCGGGGCCTGTCGTGAGGGCACCAGCAGTGGGGCTGGCTCGCATCCGTGTCTGCGAATTGTGCCTGACCCCACCCTCACCGGTGTTACAACTTCCGGGGCTCTGCCCCCATGGGCAGGTGACTGCCTTGCAGGAGCTCCAAGGAGCCTTGGGGCCATGGTCATTCCCACCAGGAGTGGGGGCTGGGGTCCGGGCCACCTGCTCCCCTCCTTATAGGACACCTTCATCAAAAGGATGAGGCAGACGCAGGTGGAGCAAGAGAGGTGCAGGGGCCGCGGGGGTGAGGGGCACGAGGACCCTCAGGCAGGGGTCAGGGCCACCAGGAAGCAGCCGGGGGCACGGGGGCTGTTGGGAGAGAGGCTGGGAGGACCTGGGGTCCGGGCTGGACCTTGCTCACCGGGCGGGGGCAGGAGCCCTCCCCAGAGGTGCACCCTCTCTGCCCCGCGGTGGGGAGCCTGCCACGGGCCCTGCCCGAGCCATCGTCCTCCCCTCTCCAGGCCCGTCTGGGTGGCCTGCACAGAGGACAGGCCTGTCTCCTCCCTGTCTTCTTCCTCCTCCTTTTCCCTCCCCCTCCTCCCCCTCCCTGCTCCAGGACTCAGGTCCCCACGCCAGCCCCAGCCGCAGCCCCATTTCTTCTCCGGGACAGCCCCCCGGCCAGCCGCCCAGTGGCTCGAGCCTGAGCCAGGAATCACCCCGAAGCCCCCACGCTTCTCTCCTGACCACCGCGCGGGCTTCAGACCTAGACCTCACGGACCCGCCTCCCCTCCCCTCCCAGGGTGGGGGACCTGCCGATCCCCGGCCCCCCTCCACCCCCGGGTGCTGAGGCCCCCAGCCGCGGTGCCCGTGCCCACGAGGGGTGCTCTGCCTGCACGAGGGGCACAACCTGAAAAGGCAGGCCCTGCAGGACTGTGCACACACGGCCCGGCTGTCCTCTTCCCTTCCGGCTCTGACCCTCTGCGTCTCCACCGTGGCCGGCAGGGCTCCCTAGTCTCTCTCCTCCCTCCCAAAGCGGACCCTCTCTGGCCACCTTCGGAGCAGGAAGGCAGGGCAGAGCCCCCGGGGCGGGCAGAGGGGCAGTCTCATCCTGCTGTGAGCCATCTTCCCTCGGGCCGGAGCCCTGACATCTACGGCCCGAGGTGGCTGGCAGATGGCCCGGGCTTGGGGACCCTGCCTTAGTGGCATCCCCGCAGCCCCGAGTTCTGCCGGGGCCGCGAGGAGGAGCCCGTGCGGGCCCGGGTGCGATCGGTGGGCAGGAGAGGGGCTGGCGGGGAGACCCGCGGGCAGTGGTACCGCCTGACCCTTCGGAAGGTCAGATGCCCCTGATGCGGAGCCTGGGCTCAGGGTGGGCCGGGCCACTGACCGGAACCTGCTGCGTGACCTAGCAGGGAATGTCCCCCAGGGCTCTTGTGACAGGCCCAGGATGGCACCCTCCACCCGGAAGAGACTGGCGCGTGAAGCAAACAGCGTGTATTCCCGGAGCCTCATCCCTGCCTAGGCCTCCCAACTCGGTTTCTGCCTCAACGGATCCGTCCCGACCTGAACCCGGGTCCCCCCACGGCCAGGAGTGCCCCGCACACTCCCCCGTGCTCGCTCACGGGACACTCCCCCACCCCCCGCACCCATCCACTCACGCACACATGCGCTTACAACACTCAGCGCACAACCCAGACCCCGGCACAGCCACACGTCGATGGCAGGCCGGTGCACAGTGTTCCGACGCTGACCCGGCCCCATCCCGTCCCTGGCCACACGGAGGAGGGGAGCCTGGCGAAGGGCCGGGTGGGGAGGATCCCCAGAGTGGATGGCAGAGGTGACAGAGGTGACAGAAAAAGCTTAAAACAAACAAAATGTGACTCAGAGAGCAGAGCCGGGGGCGGGGGCACTGGCGAGGAGAGGCACTAACGTGGCGTTACTGGCGGCTTCGGAGGCGGTGGCGGCCGCAAACGGGACTCCCCACTCGGCACGTTTGAGGGCGCGCCCAAGGGGGCCCCCGGGCAGCTGACTGCAAGTGAAATGCAAAGGCCGAGACGAGAGCAGACACTGTTCTCACGGAACCAGGGCGGGCAAAGCAGGCACACGGACCGGAGCAGTCCTGCCTGAGCCTTCCTAGGCCGGCCGGGGTCCCGGGAGTGGGCTGGCTTGTCAGGGGGAGGGGGCACCGGGTCCCAGAAATGGGCTGATTGGGATGGGTACCGGGTCCCAGAAGTGCGCTGGTGGTGGAGCGGGGGGGAACCTGGTCCCAGGAGTGGGCTGGCTGGTGGTGGGGGACCGGGTCCTGGAGGGGAAT